AATCTTCATTTACTTTGCAAACTGATCACTTGTTAGGTTGAAATACATTAAAAAATATAATGACCTTGGAGGGATATGATTTTACCCAACTAGTGGATACCACACTTCATTCTATGCAGAGTCATTACCATCGCCTAAGGGGGAGTGCAAATAAACAAGAAGATAAGTTTTAATGGGCGTAGAATTGGTTAGATCTAGAGTGACAGGCCAGATTCTTATTAGTTTGGCTTAAGGTTTAGTACCCTGATGCTGGGATTCAGTTCTTACGATGACATAGGCTAGGGGAATCTAAAGGTGAGAGGCTAGATAGCACTGATGTGGAGTCGAGATATTAATGAATCAACCTTAAGTTAGTTAATATTCTTTGCAAGCACCGAGAGGGAGTAAATAATAAGGTATGATTCTATTTGTCACAATACCTCATTTAAATCCTACATAAATTAAAATCTCTTTGCAAGGGGAAATGTTTTTTCATAATATTCAAACTCATTATTATATTTTGTTAAGTTGTTACATTTAGTTGTTACTTTCTTTTTAAGCTCTTTTAGTAGTAATTTTTAGTAAGCATATCATTTTAAATTATTTATCTTTTTAAATTGCAATTCAAATAGAAACTTTGTAAATTGATTTTAAGAGTTATCACTTTCCTCGTGGGATTGATACTGGGGTTTTTAAATAAAATCCAATATTATTTAAAACTATACATATAGTTGAGCAGTACCCCTCGTGTGAAAATCTATTATATAATTTATAAATCATTGCAAGTGTCATACTAACCGCTAGATATAAATTGAGATATATTTTTTTACATAATTAAGGAGATTAAAAATATGCGTAAGTGAGGGCTGGGTCAAGTTTTTGGCACCGTTGTTGGGGATTGCAATGGAACTTTTTAACTTACAATTTTATTTGAATTATTATTTTAAAAAATTAAAAAAATTTCAAAAAATTTTAAGTGCGGGTTGGGTCACTGACCCATCGCGACAACCCCCTTATACATTTTATCTAATTTATCTTCCAAGTCCGGGTCAATTCTCCTCACATTAATTTTTTTTTTTTTTCAAGTGGTATTGTCTGCAATGTGGGGGGAGGGGTTCATATTAGTTAAAAAAACAAAAATGATAATGAACAAAACATATTTTAGTCCACCATTATTACTTCTAACTTCTCAGCCCACCAATCCTCTAAAGCAATAATGATACACTTAATGGGATCCCAACTTAACCCAATGGATCCCCGCTTCAGCTCCTTCCATAACTTCCACTCTTTCTTCAATTGATCCCACTTATTCTTAAATTTTAGCCTGTCATAGTTCTTTCCAGTTAATTCTTTGACACTTCTAAATATTTTATCAACCTTCCTTGTTAAAGTATGTGGTAGATCTATTCCCAACCTCAATTCTCTTTGATGCAAAGATCGTAAAAAATGTTTGTTACTTCCTTATCCCACATTGTTGATGGACCTCCTTCTTTCATCTTATGCATGTAGGAGCTAATTGAAGAATTTGATAGTTAAACAAAATAACTTAACATGTAACAGACTCATCATGTTAGACCATTATAGAATGAGAAATAAAAAATTTGTATTAAATACCAATAAGCAGAAAAGTAAGGATAATAAGGAGGGGCTCTATCATTAAACAAAAAAAGAAAAAAAGAAACAACTGGAATCATTATAAGGAGATCTCCTCCATCCATAAAATATCCTTCAAACCATAATATCAAAAAAAATCCAAAAGGAAAATGCTCTCATCTATTATTAAAGTTGAGAAGATTCATAATACAAACCAGAAAGTTAAAAATAGAAGCACTAGCCCAAAATTCGATTAGAAGTTCAATAAGAAGTGAAGCATATATTTCAACCACAATATTTTCCACCCAAAAACATCTATAAGCACAACCTGCAAATACAATTAGAAGGACCCCATGATACAAAAAACCTGAAGGTCCTCACATTAGTGAAAATAACATAATGTCCCTTTTGCATTGAGCTAGCTTTTTGTATTTGAAAAATAAGCTTCAACAACTCAAACTTTTCTAAATTACCAACAACCAGCCTTTCCTTCAGGCAATCATTAGGGTAAAAAGAGAACGAATTCCAACAGGCATGCCAAAGCATTTATTTCCAGGCGAGTAAGAAATTGGAGTAAGAAGATAAAAGATAAGGGAAGAAGGAAGAAAAGAGAAGAATCAGACAAATAACCTAATTAGGGAAAATATCATGCCATGCAACATTACATTGGAGCTCCGTTTATAACTATATATGTAACTATTCAAAATTGGCATTATCACATATGATTATAAGAAAAAAAAATAGGATTAAAATTAAGATACTTCACAACACTTCCATATTGATCCCATAAATAATATTGAGTCACAAAATAAAACATTATAGAAGATGCTAGTGCAAAAGTTATGCAGCTTATGATAGTTCTAACATGAAATCTAAAAATCAACAATTGGCTAAAGAAAATTTTTCACAAAAATAATTGCAGCATGTAGCCATCAAACTGGAAAGGCACAGGGGTTTAACATAGAACTTGACGAGCATAATGCATGAACATAAAATAACTTGAACCTTATTGATTAAAGTCATCAAGTCATCTTGAGTGAAAATGTAAGGGCTTAGCCATAACAATTTGCCAAACCCTTCGCTACAAACAAAAGTTACCAAATTGTAATAGGTATGCCATAGGATAATTCACCCAAGGGAAAGCCCAATGATTTACACAGAACACCGATGTCAATCCCATGTTTCAGTTAATACTTAACCTTTCAGATCATACAAAGTGATGCAAAAAATTAGCAAAGAAAGAGATCACAAGATTCCTTTCCATGACATTCCAAACAATTGACCTTCAATATCTGGGTGCTAAATAAAGGTTCACTCAATATCATCAATAGCTTACCATGAAAAAAATCTCACGCAAGCCTAGTTGGCAATGTAGATGAATAAATAAACTTAAGAGGTTCATTTGGTTGTTTGAAGTCAAAAATATCTTTTGAAACAATGAATTTTATTGAATCCATCAGTTTATTGGATAATATTAGAAGCCCATATTGATTTAAAACTTCACAAACCACATCAAAACTCCGACAAATGTAATGATTTCACCTTAACACATAAAAGAAGCTGGTAGAAGAGAGTACAAAACTTGGATGATGATTGTGGTGAGCAATGCATTGGATGGCTAAAATATCTAACGCCTGAACAATAATTTATACATTTATTTCATCAAAATCTTTTCCATGACAACAAAAATATCATCATTTTAAAGGCATAATTTCTTACAGCTTTCTTATAGAGTCAATGAAGATGATGCCTACATGTTATTGATGACGATCACTGAAAAATATTATTTGAAACTTTACTAAAATAATTGCTCAAAGCAAATCTCAAAGGGTTTTCAATGCACAATTTTATTTTAAAGGAATTCTATGTGCTATGTTGCCACACCTCACATTATATGGGTGTTCCATGTGTGGAAAAATATTACTTCATCATAATACTTGAAAGTAGAATACATGTACATGATGGAAAAATATTACTTCACATTATATGGGTGCTCCATGTGTGGAAAAATATTTCTCATAGAGACTCCACTTTTATCCACATGTTGGAGTTTTTTGTCCACATTGTGGAGTTTTGTGGCTTCTTGAAGATGGATCATGATTGAAGGTGTAATATCATAATACCTCATTTTTGTTAATACAAATAAGCTGTGTAATACAATCTTTCACTCAAAACCCAATAGAATCATCCACATTCTTCTTTGATCCAATAAAAAATATCTATGATGCTAATTACCCCTGATATTTTAGCATTCTAAGCATGTTGACCAAGGCTACACCAAGGTTTCAGTTGCACACACTCTAGGGTTCCATGAAAATCTAGTAGAAAAGTAAAATTCCATATACTCATGCATGCTATGCAAAAGAAAAGAGCTTAACCACCATGTACTCATTCGTGCCCTTCAATGTTTGAAAGAAATTCATGAATCTAATCCAACAAACTTGAGGACCTTTCTCCAAGAACCAAGACTAAGAATCACCGAAACAAATTTCACAGAATAAAAGAGAAAAATTTAAGAAAACAAACATAGAAGGATCATGTCATTTGCTAATATGGAAGAAGACCCGTGCAAAACTATAAATCGTAAGAGGTATTACCTAATCAGTTCACTACCTAAAAGACAGAGTGATTGTATGCAGATTGTTCTCAGAGAAAAAAATCCAATGCAAAGGTGAATAACCAGAGCACAGACGAAGAAGAGAGAGGAGAAGGGCAGTCGAGAGAGGTATGGGTATGAGAATTCAATCCCAAAGCTAGGGCAAGGAGGTGAGATCGGGGACGAGATCGAGGGGCTTAGCAATAATAAGCTCCGACGGAACGCGGACCGTGAATCTCGAGGCCGTGATTTCTTAAGACATTCCGTCACGCGTTTCCGAGAGGCCGATCCAAAGTGCGAACCAAACCATCATTCGTGTTTTGAAAATGCCGAACGCCCAATAAGTTGCCCCAAACATGCCCTAGATCTAAAAAATTGTTTGACAACTCATTTAATAAATCCAATTAAATAATGTGAAAACTGTTTTGGTAAATATGAGGATTTAAAAATTTGTTAGCATGTTATTATAAAAAAATATAATTAAAATTTAATTATATTATTATTATGATAAAAATAATTATTTAATTTAATTTAATTAAAATCTTATTTCTGATTATACCAAATATTAATTAATTAATCATTAAAAAATATTAAACACATTACTTATTTAAAAATAATTTAACATTAAGTAATTCTTAATTCTTAATTATATTTATTATGATTGTATTTTTAAAAGATTAACCATTAAAAATTTTAAATTTTAAAATGTTTCGTTATTAAATTGTTATTACGGAATTACATATATTTATCTAATCATAATTAATTATTATTTAATTAAATTAACTTTAATAAATTAAATTAAAACAACAATTCCATATCCTTTTCCCAAAACCCTTAACCCTCTCCTGCCCGAACGCTCGCCTGCGTCCCTACCCCATCTCCCGGTTTCGCCCAAAACAGTCGCCTTCGTCACCGAATTCTCGCGATACAATCGCAATTAGACTGGGAAGGCAACGGCGGGAACGCGGCGTACAGAGACTCGAAACTCCATTTTTCTTCTCCTTCCGCCCTGCTCCTGCCCGAAACCATGGAGGCAGATAGAGGAAGGTAACTTCATATCTTCCTTTTCGCACGAATCGCCCATTCCTGATTTACTCAATCCGTCGATTCAGTACAGGATTACTAAAACCTGGATTTTAGGCCGAAATTAATAAAATCCGGATTTATGAAATCCGCGGCTTTATATTGTCCAAACTAACCGTCTAGCAGGATTTAGGTCAAATCCCTGTTAAATCTTACTCTAAATCCGTTGCCAAAGTAGTTCTCTTTTTGTCATTGTTTACACGCCAATAATTGATTATTGTGTTGTTGTTTATATTTATTTGGACAGTTATGCCAAATTATTTCATCTTTAATAGTTAAATTTAAGATTTAAATTTTCATAATTTGATATTTGACATTTTCTCTTTAGGTTTAGGTAAGGCGTGAGGTTTTAGTTAAGATTTAAACTCACTAAATAAATTTGAAAATTTTGTTATGAAAAACGGCGACAAGAAAGTGAAAAAAAAAACCGGATTGAAAATTGCAAACAAAAAAATAATACACAGATTTACGTGGTTCAGCTAATTTGCCTACGTCTACGAAGCTGCAGAGGACTTTAGTAATTCAATAAATTACACTGTCGAACACCTTGACGTTTATAAAAAAAACTTTCTTTCTCTTTCTTAGCTCTCAAGAGAACTTGGCTTCGCTTGACGTTACAAAAAGAGACTATTTAAAGAAGAGGCAGAGAGGTAGGTGGGACACGGTAGGTGAGGTAGGTAAGTCACAAACTCCATATATTTAACAATTCTCCCACTTGGAGACTGAAACATTGACTGCATCATCTGTTGACTGTACTGATCATTTTCTTCAAACATGATATCCTCCACCTTTACAACTCAAAGCCTCTATCTTACGCTATAAGACCAACTGAAGTCGAGCACAACTTCAGTTTCTCAAGAGTGACACCCTTAGTTGACATATCACCGTCAACATAGCCTTGTACCTCCAAGCTCTTTCTTGTGTTACTCATGTATATGCTTACAAATCCCACCGCATGGATAATATTCTGTCTATTCTGTCTCTGCTGAAAGTCTTCTTTTTCAACAAGTTCAGCCTTGTACCTCTTACTGTCATCACGCTCAGTCTTCACCCGATACACCCACTTGTTGTGCAATGACTTCTTTTCTGCTGGAAGTTCTATCAGTCACATTTGCTCGAATTTTTCATATTGCAAGATTTCTTTATTGCTCTGTGGTTCTCTACCATCTTTCTGCGGAATAATTGGAATTGGTGCCCCGAACCCTCTCATCTTCACTTCCATCACTGCGCTGCACTGTGGTTTTTTGTAGATCAACAAACCTTACCTTTCTATAGTAATTAGAGCCTCCAAGAGATGCCACTGGAGAAGGTCCCCACACATTTGTGTGTACAGAATTCACTTTTTCTGCCCTTGGCGCTCTGTCACCTTTCAAGAAACTGACCTTCTGCTTCCCCATAAGACACCTCTGACTCATTTGTTCATGCCTGAGTAAACCTGTAGTCATATATAGTGTGTCAGTTTTCTTACCCTGAGCTAGTACTAATGCTCCTTCGGTAACCTTCTAGGTGCTATCTGAGAAAACTACTGAATGACCGCCATCATTGAGCTGCCCAACAAAAATGAGGTTTTTCTTCAACTCAGGAACGTGCACGACTTTTTGCAAAGTTCATTTGCTCTTGTTAGAGAGTGTAATATCAACGTCTCCCATCTCCACCACATTCAGAGTTTTTTCATCAGCCAGATATACCTTCCTAAAGTCACCTGCAACATATTTTTGCATCAATTCCCGATGAGAAGATGTATGGAAGGAAGTCCTTGAATCCAGTATCCAGTCATCAACATGACTGTGAACTGCCAGCTATAGCACATCATGTATTTCTTCAGTTACAACATTATCGCTATCATTCTTTTTCTTCTTAGAATTTTTGTAGTTCCTTTTTATGTGGTCAGCCTTCCCACAATTATAGCAGGTTGCTTGTTGAACAAACTTTGATTTTGATCTTCCTCTGTTTGAGTTTCTGTCCTGTGATCTCCCTCTGGAATCAACATTCAGTGCCGAATTCGAACCCGAGGTCTCGCCATAATTTTTCCTGCGCAACTCCTCAGCCAAAATCAAGTCACAAATATCATCATATTTCAGTTTAAATTTATCTATATAATTGCTAACTATCATTCTCATGATTTCTCAGTTATTTGACAATGAAGCCAACAATATCAACGCACGTATGTCATCGTCAAAATCAATTTCAACAGACGATAACTGATTTGTGCTGAAATCTTTCAGGTGTTAAGCAACAGACACACCTTTCAATTTGACAATGAAGCCAACAATATCAACGCACGTATGTCATCGTCAAAATCAATTTCAACAGACGATAACTGATTTGTGCTGAAATCTTTCAGGTGTTAAGCAACAGACACACCTTTCATCATCTTCAAGTTGAATAAATTTTTCATCAAGTGTATCTTGTTATTCGCCGATGACTTTTCATACATACCTGATAAAACCGTCATGAGATCTGCAGTAATCATTTCCTTGATAACGTTGTAAGCAACAGATCTTGACAGGGTTAATTGAATAACCTCTAGAACCTGTCGATCCAACAGATTCCATTCCGTCTCGTCCATCTTTTTTGATTGTTTTCCCAGTAACGAAAGATGAAGTTTCTTCCCATAGAGGTAGTACTCTATCTGCATCCTCTAGTAATCAAAATTTGTGCCATTGAACTTTCCAATCCCCGATGCCATCACTTTGTCTTCGCGCATCGTTTTCTTTCAGTATCAAACCAAAGCTCTGATACCAATTGTTATGAAAGATAACAACAATAAAATGAAAAAAAACCGGATAAAAAAGTTACAAACCAGAAAATAACACACAAATTTATGTGGTTCGGCTAATTTGCCTACGTCCACAGAGCTGCAGAGAATTTTAGTACTTTGAGAAATTACACCGTGGAGTGCCTCGACGTTTACAAAATAAACTTCATTTCTCTTTCTCTCTTCCTTTCTCTCTTCTAACTCTCAAGAGGACTTGACTTGACACTTATGACATACCAAAATAGGCTATTCAAATAAGAGGGAGAGAGGTATGTGGAGAGAGGTAAGTGGGAGAGAGGTAGGTGTGACGCGGTAGGTGAGTCACATGCTCCATATATTTAACAATTTTGAAAAATAAATGATTAAGAGTAATTTTAAATTGTAATATATCATAAAAGTCATATGAGAACTAAATAATTAACACATGGTTAATCCACACACACGAAATTTCCCGCGACGAGAAGCGGATCCCACTTTCGTGCTTGGATCAAACTGATCCAAGTATTTTGGTTGTGGTGGAGTTAGTCGGTCTCCTTGAGCCACTCATAGATATCCTATTACTATATACTCGCTTTCCTAATGTTTTAGATTTAGTTTTTTGTGTGCTTTGCATCGAGATAGCCGCCAGTGTCTCTTCTTCCCTTCGAAGATTGTATCTTAAGATTCTAAATGGTGCTTCAGCTGAATCTTGTTCTCCAAGCCATGTGTATCTTCTCTATACTTTTCACGTCCCTCCCGCTTCACTGCAACGCCTTCCTCGTTATGGGCTGTCCCGATAACAACTCTTTTGCTGTTTTCTTTTAGATTTCTTCTGCTCAACCCTTCCGCCTCACTTTCATTATTGTTCCAACCCTCCATCTTCGTTGTCGCTGTTGTCCAACCATTCCTCTTTACTGTTGCCACCATTCAACCCTTCATCCTTGCTGCCATCACCCTAGACAACCCTCCCACATTGCTCCCCATTGTTTCCTTACTGTTCGACATCGAGGAAACAACCGCTTTGTTGTTTTCTGCTTGGCAATTGTCTGGTCCACTCGCTGTCTTCCAAACCCCGACTGGCCACCATCACCATCTTTGGATCTATTCCCTAGCTTGAGTTTGTTTTATTAGTTGTTGCAATTTTAGATTCCCGTATGTCAGTTGTAATTTTCCGTTTGATTTCTGTAATTCAATTCAACTTTTCTATTTTTGTTTGGTTGATTCCGTTATCATTTGGTATCAGAGTTAGCTTAGCCCTAGTTCTATCCTAGGGTTCCCGGCATCCACCACTACCCCACCCAAAATTTTTCTTTCCCATCTTACATCACCCCTACTCACCTTATTTCATCTACCCCCCCAATTCCTAATCATGCCGTTGCGGAGGAAATTGCTAGAACCTGATTAGGATTTTATCATGTAAGAGTTACAATGAAAGCTCCACCGAGTGCTACAACGACTCAATGATGTTGAGGAAAGGACCCATCGAGAGGATACCAACAAGTATGTTAGCGAGATTCGAAGAGGACAGAGGGAGGAATACTCAAATCCCTTCCAAGCTTGACATCAATGTTGATGCCAAGCGGTGATCAAGTTTGGAGATGTTTAATATTTTCGAGTGAATTAGTTTATTATAGGTTTCATTGTGAAATGTATATTTTATTTTAAATTCTATTTGGCAGAGTTTGTAATTGCTTTGATCCATTTGTCAATCAAGCGCTTCTTTTATTATGAATTGTTTTTTAATTCTATCACATAGTTACAAATCTATCACCTAAACATTCATATTACATGCATGCCACTTAAATCTTTAACTTCACATAAAAATATCACCATCATTATCTTTTTAAAAGTGCAACACACCTTTTCACGTATAGGTTTATGACACTAAGATGTTAAGCATAGATATCTAAATTTGGGTGTTAGATATGTAAATACATAAGATATGTGTGGTATGTATGTAAATTTCCCTTTTTTTCAAACTGTTGAGTAGTAGATGGCCTGGATGGAGGTCGGCTGTTGGAGATGGCATTAATTATGGCAATTGGAAGGCAAAAATATCAACCCAACAGAAAAGATAACATACACTACAGCTAAAGAGAAAATAAAAGGTGCACAATAGTTGATGTGATAATTGCTTGACTGCAATAGGTAGTGGGAAATAAGTAAGAGACAACAATACAGAAAGGTGGGAATTGCTAGAGGATTGTGGAAAACTTATAGAACCATT